ATCGCCTGCAAGAGGGGCGGGGGGGGAGGCTGGGAGTTCGTCGCTCTCTGCTCGTAACGAAGAAGGTGGAGCAACGGGACGACTGCACGTCACTGCAATAGCACAGTAATTAGTGCCATCTGATTAAACTGGGGGAGAAATAATTTTTTTTTTAAAGTTGGGTGATTTTTCTCTGGTGCAGAAGCTGAAGAAACGCTGTACAGGGGTAAGGTAAAGTGTGAGAAAGTGTGGTGTATTACTTTTTTTTAAAACTGAGCTTTTTGGTTGTAGTGCTAGAGCAGGATTAACAGGCAAGGGCAGTGAGCTCACTTTCCCCACTGGTTTTGTCATTTGTGTCTTATTTCCTCGAGTAGTTAACCCAGAGTGACTCTAGTGTAAATACAAAAACGTCCCTCTGAGGGTGAGGGTTGTAAAAAAAAAAAACCTATGTAAGTAGATCTTCCTCTCCCCTGTATTTAAATATAACATAACGATTACTCCTACATTACAGGTTTTGCTCCATGCAATAATAAAAGCTGTATCCAAACCTGGAGAAACAAGGGCATTCATACTTTACATAAACCAGATATAGAGACTACGAAAAAGTGCAAACCCTCAGCCTGGATGAAAACCCAAATGAATAGATCATTTTCAGATGAATTAGGCTGTATCACAGATGCAACTGCTGAGGAACAAGATGACTTACCTTATGATGGAGATGCAGGGATAACCTGTAAATACAATAATAATTCAGATAACTTAAATAACTGTACTTTTACAAAAGTTATTTCTGGTATTTTAAATTTAGCCTGTTCTGCAGAGCATACACCCATAAAAGCAACAGCAAATTATGAAAGTCATCCCCAGCCTGAAGAATTCTGCAGTCACCACAGATGCACCATAGGAACAAGGGGAATTTCAGCTGAAATGCCTGGAGGTGAAGCTTCCTTTAAGAAGGAATTACCTGTTGGCAGCTTTAGTAAACCAGATAGCAATGAACATCTAACCAACTCCAAAATGTCCAATGTCCTTTTGCGTCATTTTTCTAAGGGAGAGTTAATAAGCACATGCCAGTTAATTGAATGGGAGACAATACCCGAGACATCCTGTACTGAAAGTATCGATGACACTGCGAAGAAACCTGAGCCTTCGGAACGTGTCAAAGGCCCTTTAGCACATGAACAATGGGCAACTAACTGTGAGGAACACCACTTAGAAAAGCACAAGGAAGTGAACACCGGTGACAAAACCCACAATGTGCTGCATGAAAACAGATGTGTTTCCAAGAAATCTGTTTCTTCCACCGGTAAGTGTGGGTGCAGACAAGAAAACTCACAACTGATTGATGAGAATGAAGATACACACATCTTTCAAAACACGGAAGAAGAACACGCCCTGTTTAAGAAAACAGTTTCACCTCATGAGCTCAAATATGGCCAAGGTCAAGCTCGCTATTGCCTTCCTGACTTCTCTAAAGTTGCCTCACAAGTCCAAGTACCAATAACAAGTGACAATGTTAACTCAGTTCCTACAACTGAAAGAACAAAATCCTCCCCCGTTGTGCTAAGTAAATCGCTAATTGTGAACAACATTCTAGAAAATAAGAACGACCTCAATTCTGCTGAAGTAGAGAATCAAGAAGTGGTGAGTGTTCCAGAACTGCTGCAACAGCTAGAGGTAATTTCAGATGCTTTAAGAAATTCTTAATACTCGACAGAGTGATGTTTACCATGAGAAGATACTCTGTGTCGAATCAAATCTAACATGACTGGTTCGCGCAGGCAGTCTATAGGTGTCAGCCAGTATATCACTTTGGTCAACAACTGCTTTCAAGAAAAGAAAATTTGGTGGGACTGAATTTATAGGGAACTTTCATTACCAACAATTTAATGATGCTCTGGAGTATTATTTGTGATTATATAGCATCCTATCAAATCATTAGGAAATTCACTATAAATTGTTTTTTCTAGTATTATATGTTCAAATTCACCAGAAGTACTAAATAGGAAGTTTTTCTTAAAAATATAGTTTCATCCTGTGCCTGTGTTTCTGTTAAAGACATCTTTGCCTTTTTCTGCATCTTAACACTCTTCAGCTATTTACGCTGGTGTTTATTGACAAGTCAATTCTTTTTAAAGGATTTGCTTGACAACAGTATTTCTCTTGCTGTGGTAAATTTCTTCTGAAGTTTTTTAGTAATTAGATAAACACTTTTCAGTTTCATTCCCTGCCATGGAGTTCACTCAGACAGCTGTACAGATGCTTAAATCCATTCCTAGGTTTCTATCTTTAGTAAATCGTTTGAGATACAACATTAGTTTTCCCTGTTATTTCATGGCTGCAAACAAGATGCTGACACAGCAAGCTGAAACCCGGACTCCCATTGACCATCTGAGGTTGAATCCCAAGGTAAATCTCTCCAAATTTTTTTTTTTTCTTTTTTTTAATTAATTCTCCTTTATTTCTAGGACTATGAATATTCCCCAAAACCATTTTGGTCACTTTCATATTGTACTTCCCATTTATACAAATCCTCTTTAGATTTTCACAACAACAAGTTGAAGTACTTAAATATTTATGTAATGAGACACTATACATATACCAAACTATAAACATAGATAATTATATAGCACTCTTATAAACAATTTCATTAACAACTTGTCCAATGTATTGAGTTATTTCTAAAATTTTTATGTCCACAAGGGTTCTGTACGTTGTTTCTATAACCAAAGTTCTCATTTTAACAGATAGTTCCTCAGTCAGATTTTCCAAATGCCAGCGCTGCCATTTACCCAGGAGGCACTGGGACATCCTCTGAAGTCCTACACGCTCCTATCCCTATGCAACCTACACATGGTTTGTCTAAAGCAAGTAAATAAAATTACAGTAACTATGAAAATGACTTCTGTAATTTGATAGCACTTTTTGGCAGAAATTCCAATTGATTATCTTGTATTATGTAGGATTACAGCATGGAACACCACCACCAGCAGCTGGTATGGCAGAAGCATACTGTCTAAATCCTGCTGATTTACTGCCAGAACTAACACTAGGAGAAAAGATGTCTCAAATACTAAAGCATCAGACAGATCAACTGATAAAGAAAGTAAAGAGCTCTGGTTTAATATATATTTTGCACTGATGCGTGAATTCTATATTCTGCATATTTGTTTTTAAAATCCCAAATAAAAGTCTAATATTTTGTCTTGAAGGTGGAAGACTTCTTTAAGCATATGACCCAAGAGACATTCCTTTTACAAGACAACTACTTGGTAAATTAGTTTATGTATTTTCAGTTATCTGAAGTGCGCTTTCAATGGCTGTAGACTCACAATTTTCTGGCAAGATACTCCACGTTTTCCTCAAACAGATGTTTAAAAATACTCTTTTCTCAACCTCAGACTGAAATTCTGAGTTTAAGAGGCAAAAATGAAGGTGCTCAGTAGGTGGCTGAGTTCTTAAATCTATTTTAAAGATTACAACTCCAAATTATTAGTGAAAGGCCTTAAGTTGCCATACAAGTTATGAATTTTGACATGTAGAGTATCAGTTCAGAAGTTTTAGTATTATACTTGTGCATGACAGAGCAGCACAGAGTACTAGGTGGACATACAAGGTGCAGTCCTGTTACAATTCAGAGCAGTAGCAAAATTCTTCGCAACATCACTGCAAACAGCATCTGGCTTACACAGCGTAAGTAGCTATCACTGTGGCGTGCTGAATCATAACAACATTTGCTATTGGATTATTTCTTATTGGTGAAGGCATTAAATCAATTGAAGAGATGCCTTGATGCCTTGGAAAGGAATTACTTAACAGCTAGAGAAGAGCACCGTAATTTACAGCTGCAGAACTACAAGGACGAGCCTATCAACGTTGGAGAGTTTGATCCTGAAAGGTTAGAAGATAACTGCTTAGTAGTACATCAGTACGTTTTCAATATCTTGAGTGTCTTACAACCATTACTTCATTTACCCATTACAATTTTTCTTTAGTGAAAACATTAAGATAATGTTGTATGTGGTAAGCTAGAACTGATTTGGCCAAAATTCATGTTGGGCTTTACATATCCCAGTTATAATTAGGATATCAAATTGATTAATTCATGTACTTAACAGGGACTCCGTGAACTTCATTAATTTTTTTTCCTATGGGAAGTGTACTGCAATGGCCAACGTGGTTATCATAGTAAGAAATAAACTACCAGTTTATACAGGTTTCATTAACTGTGTATGGCAATTGGGTTTAGACAGGTGGAAGGAGAAATATTTAGACTTGGAATGCTGCTTGAAGACCTCCAGGAACAAACTGATGACAGCAAATGCAACTTGCCTTCTTTGCTTACTTCCTATGAATCTGCCCATTCATCATATTCTCCTTGTGAGGTAACTCCGTGAGTTTTGTTATTTAAAGACTACAATTATTCTGTTTTACTGATGCAAATCTCAAGAACCTCAGTGTGGTTGTACTATTGTACATTCTCCTCCCATAAAAGCATGACGCTTTTAGATAGAATGTTACTTTAAAGAAAAAGTTTGTGAAATATTAACTTCATAATATTTCATTAATTATAACAGAAACCTAGGTATAAAAACTGAGCTCCACTGAATATTCTTAATCCCAGCTTCAAAAGCATTTATTTCAGAGTAAGAAAATACAAGCAGCTACTTTAACTTTTACAAAGCTGTCTTTGTTTTAGGGAATTAATCACTATCATTGACTTGGAAGAAATAATTACTTCATTTGGCCAAGATTCTTAAACTGCAGAATTACTAGAAGACCAAACATTATTGTGCTACAGAAAATTGAGTTTACTGCTGAGAATGGTATATATACAAAATATTATTTTGTCCTGGATCTTAAATAAATAAAAAAAATAAAATCTTAGAGCCTTCTACAAATCTACAGATAAGTATCACCAAGTGCTTTCATAGTCAATATTTTAGAAAACATTTTTCTTGAATCCCAGAAAATGCTGGCTGGTAAGTCATGTACTTGCCACGCGGTGACTACATTTTACATCTACCTATGCTGTGGTTACTTTGTACAGAGCTCGATAGTTTCAAGCATCGCTGATCCTCCAGAAAGAAGAGGTATCGACACTGCATTTCTTCACAAGAACAGTGAGGGAAAAGAGAGTCAGACAACTGATGTAATCCCACAGACAAATCGATTTTCGTTAGACGGTGACAAGTGCAATGTTTGTCTTCACATGTAAGTGAAACCGTTGAAACAGCTATTGAAGTTTTAATAAAAATTTACCTTAAATTATTTGCTGCATATAGAACATTGGGATGTCTGGAATCTTTGAAAGCAACAGGAATATTTCCAGAATAAAACTTTTACAGAATTCTGTAACTACAAACCCCAGAATTCCTTTCAGCCTGGCATTCCTACCTTTCTGGGTTTTATGGACCTCAAAGTCTTTCCTGAAGTCAAAACACTACCATCGGTTTCACTAGGAGTTAAATCATACCTCTGTATAAAATTCATTGCCACCACACAAATTCAGGGTGTGAATGACTAGTCAAAGTACAGTGCCAGTAAGTAATTGTTTGCCAGTATTTGTGTGGTATTTTTAATTAAACAAAAAAAGGAAGGGATGCAGATGTTGACATAATTAGGCATCAAAACTTTGTGAAATAACTCTAGATACCATCTCTGCCCTCCTGGGGAGTATTTCATAGGTGTTAATCATCGCAATGAGAGTAGAAAAATAAAATAAATGGTTTCGCCTTAATCAATTAAGGTTACAAAAGACAGCTGAATCAACTTCCAGAAGAGAAACAGAGCCTCTGGGAAAAGGAGGTCTGCTAGCAAACAACCATTCTTCCAACATAACGGTATGAGATCTGCTTCCATACTCACTTTTTGGTTTTAGCTTAGATTATCTTATTCACCTTTGAGATCACAGAACAATTTCCAGTTTTTGCACAGCATGACAGTTCAGCTTTTGAGATACTGCAGCATATCGTAACATCGCTGAGCTGGCTTCCAAAGGAGAAATTTAAGGACTCCCAAACATTTTTTGAAATCTGTAAAAGGTTTACTTCCCCTAGGAAGACTTAACTGTGTTTACTAGCCTGTTTGTTCAGAGAGGAAAAACCTACAAGCAATTTCTTGCCTACAAAAATATTTAATTTTAAGGCAGTGAGAGAAATATCTGTCTTGAATTCCAACTCCACAGATGAAAAGTGCTCATATTTTGTCCACGCTGCTCTACAGTTACAACAGATAAACTGTAGAGCTGATGGCAACTAAAAGCAATATAGAAGTGATACGCAAATTATGTCCCTGTTTACACTGTCCTGTCTGATATGTAATACAGTGACAGCTACCCAGTAATATCAACAATTTTATATAAATTTGTTTTGCCTTCTGGGTGCAACAGAGATTCCTTTCACCGGAGGGAAGATATGCTGCTGAAGATCTTGCATCCCACAGTCAGGGTACATCATGTCAGAAATGTAATGCTGATGAAGAAAGTATGAAAGGGTAAGCGTATTATGTATTCTGGCTAGTCAGAGGCGTGATTTTCTACAGCTAAGTGAGCAGATACATGCATGAACACTGATATATCTCTATACTGGACTCTGCATGAAACACTGAATAATGCCTTTAATGCCTTTAATATTTATAAATGAGAGGATGATCTGTTTTCAAGTTTATCACCAGTTAGTCACATCAGGTATGTGATATACCAGATGACTAGAGAAACAGCAAAACTCCCATCAATTTTATTGAAGAGAGGATTATATTCATATTACAAAGTAGCCCATCTCAGTGGACCAGTATAAGGTTTATGGTGCTTAAATGGCACAGAGTTATTTTAAGAGTGTATTAAGAGAAGAGGCTTTGTCTTTGTTCTCTATTCAGTGATGCATGTCAGCATCCTGAATTGGGATGACTGCAAAGTGGTCAGCAATGAAAAATATCTGAAATTTTCATTGTCACAAACTAATCTCCAGGCCTAGAAGGAGAACATATTGATACATCTGCATATATGTAAAGTTTCACTTACAGAAATGTCAGCATAATCAAATAATTCTACATGGGTTAGATTTTGAAATGTTGGCAAATTGAATCTCTATCCAAAGCAAGATCTTATAATAAATGCAGTGTAGAGCACAATAATATTATCTAAATATGCTCTCAATTATTTTACAGAGTAGATTTTAATATTTAGTAAAACTCACCTGCCTTCCACTTTTTGCTCTGTCATTTAAAGAAAGTTAGCCCAATCTTCTGATCTTTATTTTCATGAATGGGTGGAAAATTTTCCAAATAAATGTGATGATACTATATGTCCTAAGTTGAAAATACATGTCAAATAACACAAACAAGGAACTTTGTTCTTGTTCTGCTTGAAGGTACATCACATATATTCCTCTAATCATCTAAAGCCAGTAAAATTAAAGCCTTAATAGCTCAAAGTTACTAAGAAACCACATCATCCTTACCACTGATATTTTGATCCAACATATTTTAACACATAAATACATACTAAGAAACCACATCATCCTTACCACTGATAATATTTTGATCCAACGTATTTTAACACATATATAAATACACAGCATGTCACAGTACTTTGCTATTCAAAGATGTGTTTATCAAGACCTCTACTTTTAAGCATTTTTAACAGCTCTGCTAAGTCAGGGTCCTTTTGTCACAATGTGTCCATTAATTAACGGGGTCATTATTTTGCAATTGGTTAATTTTTAATTTAAGTTGCTACTTACCACCTTTTCGGATAATTGATACAGGTAGAGTTCTTTCTGTGAGTAAATCTGATTTCTCCTCAAATAAGAAATGGTCAAACATTAATATAATATGCTCATAAGGCTCATCATAAAGGTATTAAGATACAATTAAAATATCATTCTGTTTTCATGCTCAAAGAAATACAAATATCCGGGAAAGGAAAACTGGAACATGTTCACTCTTCATTCACAGAACACCAACTGATTTATCAGATACCAACCTGAGTAAGTAGTGATGGCATACAAAGGTCAGAACTGTGCTTATACCTATTGAAGCTGCTAATACCTCCTGTTAAGAAATATATTCTGTCACATCTCAGCAGCACGGAAATTGTTTTGTAGTTTTAACAGATGTTACTGCTTAGCACAGCACAAGACACTAAGAATAAAAAGAGAGACTGAAGTGGACACCAAGTCAAATTCACTGTGGAAGTCTCAGTGACAAACCAAGAGGCAACAGACAAGCTGCAACAGAATTTCCAGTTAGATATGAGCAAACCAGTTTTAACTCAGGATCTAGTCAAACATTGAAACGGTTTGCCCTAGAGAGGCTGAGGCACCTCCATCCTCAGAGATACTCAGAACTGAGCTGGACAGGGTCCTAGGCAACTTCATCCAAGTTGGTCCTGCTTTGAGAGGGAAGGGGCCGGCCAATCTCCAGAAGTCCTATCCAACCTGAATTACTGTTTAATTCTAGTTCACCTTTTTAGATAAGTTTCCAAATATTACTAACACTTTCAAAAGCGTAACAGTGGCGTGCACACAATGCTTTGATTTTGCTTTTTCTCCTTATCATGTGCATTTATTTCATGTCCAGAAGGAGATTCCAAACTCGGCAACTAAAACATCATTTCACATCAGTTCTTACACTTTTAGTTTTTGAATTCAACTTTCTTGTTCCACACGAAAACAAAGGAAAAAAGTTTTCCTAAATCTTTGATCCATTCAGGGTTGACACAGACTGGAAATATTCACTTTCCTTAGTCCAGCTCCTAATATAATTTCACCAGATCCAAACTAGAGCCCACACAGGCTGCTATGAGCTAGTTAAGTCAGCTGTCAAGTCATCCAAGGCTCCACCTCTTGGAGGTTCACTAAGGATCTGTCAGCATTTGTTTCTCTTGGGGCGCCCCAACTTTATCTTTCCGCTGCAGAATACTCTGAAGCTGTTAGTACCCAACAACTAAAGAGAGAATAGCATGAACTGTCCTAGATTCAGTTTTAAGTCTGAATATGTAGGTTACTCTTACCTTTGGTCTATCTTTTGTCCTTAGCTTCTCTGTGATATCCTTGCACTTTAATACAATACACTGGGGCCATTATTGTTGGTAGTGGTTTGTGCAATAGCTAGAGCAGGGTCATACTAGAGCCTCCCAAATTCTCTTGTCCCACTCCTCTTAGGCTGCATTGTTTTTGCAACACTTCAGCTCGTAGGAATTTTAACCTTCAAAACAAGAAGCTGAGGACAGGGAGAGCTTAATTGTTTTAGTTCTGCAACTGGAAGCAGCCACCTCCAAAAAACCCCAGACAATACATCTGAGGATACAATCAGGGCTGAAAGCCAGTATTTAAAATTCAATCCCCACCTATAAAATGGAGGAAAAAGTACTTCTTCAAATTGCAGTAGTGTTAAAGGCAGCAAAGGACTCAGAAATTATGGTGCTATAAGCCAAATAATTACCTAGGTCCACAGGCCAACATGTCTAATATTTCAGACCTTTTTTTATGTATTTTTGGGATTTTAGGCAGTGATTCAGAAGACATCTCAGCCTGTGATTCTTGTAGTGATTCAGAAAGCAAGGATCTTGTAAGCTGTGAGACTGAAAGTTACAAAACATTCAGTACAAGATTATGTGGAGAGAGAAAAGGTATTATGATTGTAAAAATATTAAAATCTACACAAAAATATTGTTTATAGTGAGAGTTGTTTAGTTAGGTTTCTTTTTCCCCTAAGTAACATGTCTTTGTTTTCAGGACTTAGATGCAGATGCCCTAGAGGAAGCAGAGATCAGTTTAAACTCAGGAAATACAAGGAGTCTGTTCCGTCTTGTGCCCTATGTAGAAATAAGAGTTCTGGTTCATCCTGTAAGTATGGTGTGTTAGTGAAATAATTACCAATCGCAGGCTAGATTTTAAGGGGCAGAAAGCCACGCTGCACATATCAGGCCAAATTTAATTTCGTATAAGCGATGCGTAGCACTGTAGCTAAACAGTGGATGTTATAGATCTTGTAAAGCAAGATCAGCAAGTCCAACTTTTACACACCCAGCCAAGTTTAATCCCCATGCACGACAGCTTTAGCCTTCTCTGGTTCTTTATGAGAGAAGTCCCTTCCATATTTCATTTACAACAGGAATATCACATTTTACAGTGCCACACAGAAGAATATTAAAAAGCTGGCACAGTAATGCCCAATTTTAAGTGCTATCTGGTACATAATGTAGTGTAAACAAGTACTAAAGAAAATTCCAGCTCTACCCTCAAATTGTGTGACACGCAAAGTCAAGGAAAGCCTAATTTAAAAAATAAAAAGTGTAGATCATCTAGCTTTTAAAGTCACTTATCTCAGACTCCTCTCTATACTGTAGGAAGAAATTGCATGCAGAAAACCGACAAATTTTCATCAGTGGAAAGAAAGTAAAAATTAGCTACTTCTCTACAGAAATACTGTAAAACTATAAATCAAAGTAGTATTCATGTAATTATTAGTATTATAAGAATCTGATTATTCTACACTTTCCCCCTGCAGTCTTTCACTGTATGAAATGGAATATAAATCTGCATACCATTTGCCACAGAGCTAAATTCAAACCCAAAAAGGTTAATCTGTCCTCATTTGCAAAAAAAAAAAATCTTAAACATATCCAAGTTTTATTCAACAGTGGTAGTTACTAGATTTTTTTTATTTATGCTAAATAGAGAAAAATGTTAAATAGAGAAAATTACTTTTTGTTTATAACATGGCCTCAACAACTCCAGCTCATTCAGAGAAGAGAATCTCCACTCAAAAGCATCAAAAAAATAAACAGCCACATGAACTTGTAAAGAGGCTTTCCGAAAGGTAAGCTCTAGCAACAACTATACTTAATACAACAGAAAATGCCATTGTTGAAGATTCAGCATAGAAAAAACTCAGTGGTGTCATAAGCAGGAGGAACGTTTTATCTTTTGCGGTGCATGTGGTTACTCATTAGAGAAATATACCCTAAGACCAAGTGGAAATAATTCTTAGAGTCATTCTTCAATTTTTCTAATTTAATGAAGAGTAGACATTCGACTTCTTTAGCTGACACATTCAGTAGTTAAAAATTTAAAGTCTCACTTTAAGAGGGTGTTCCCATTCACAGATTCAAAAGTAAGTCTGTTAAATATTTAAGATGCAATTCTGTTTGCTACCAACTATTTCTTTATAAGCAACAGTCCTACTTTTAACTGGGAGTCCAAGAAGTAAAATGGATTCTTAACTGTAGCACAGACTGGACTGAAACTCAGACAAGTTTTGTTGTCATAGTTTCTGACAGCATTACTCAATAGTGGTGATTGCCTGGAAGTACAGCAGCTGCACTTGAGAATCAATAGCATAGAGCGCTCCATGAGAGAAAGTTACAGCACCAAGAGTGTGATGCTATTATGGGAGATTTCCTGACTCTGCATCCTGCAATGTTTTCTGTCTTACTGCAATACAGATGTAACACAAGTTACGAAGGACTGTGTTTTACAGTTAAATGAAAAATTCCACTCATTGTAAAGTTAACTTGCAACTGAGTATGCTATCAAGGTGTATGTATTTTATTCACAGCTTAGAGATTCTTTTGCTTACTAAAATTGTTTGTATTTTATTTTATGTATCTTCTTATCTTTAGGCAAAACCTTGAGGCTGCCAAAACCTGCTATTCAAGCACGTATGATAAAATTATCCTTTCACATCAACACCTACCCAGTAAGAAGTCTACCCAAAGCAAGTCTGCAATCAATGTCAGAAACAGAAATGCCAGTTATTCTAATGCAAATGTAAGACTTTAGAGTGAAAATTAAAAGCCACACAACTATCATGGGAGGAGTACATTCCCGTACATAGCGTCATGGCACTCAAACATCCCATTCTTAGCAAGTGGATTATTACAATCTAAGCATGTCTAGTCCATTTGAGGATAAGTTAGGAGGGAGTTAAAAACCCAAGTATTTTAGCTAATGTATTACTTCATATGAGTATGTTGCAGACTCTTATGCAAGTTAGTCCCTGTATAGAGGGTGAAAGGAACAGAAAAGGAGCACTGGATCTTACCTCTGGAATTATGTTTCATATACTGAAACAAAGAATGTCACCCTAGCCATACAACCCACTATCAAAGGCAAAAGAAAACTTTCTCAGTACCACAAGCGTGCACCACACTGGGGCTGCTACTTTAGAAAGGTGTAAGTATCTCTCAGTTCAAAGGATTACACAATCAAAGAGGGAAATAAATAACAGATACTTCCAACTTGAATCATGGAGCAGTCCATCACATGACCTGGAATTTTTACTTCTCAGCTTGTATTCAGAGTGAAAATGCTACACAGAACCTTAAACATCACTTTCTGTCCTATACTTATAGTTCCCTTCGGTATTAACAAGGCTGTATTTTATTATTCCAACAGATTTTAAGTTCTGCTCTGGATCATGCCATACAAACAGCAAACAGTTTGAAGAAAGCTACAGAACGAATGGTACGAGCAGTTTCAGAAGATCTAGCTAACATTAAAAGAAACCAGCTTTAATTACCCAGTTTCAATACATTGTTTTGCTGGTTGATACTGAAGTGTCAGTATCTCTGCAAATATGAGATAGTAAATACGAAGATCTGAAAGTCAGCTAGCCGACTTCCCAGCTGTTCTGAAACTGTCAGTTCAAACTAAACCTGAGCACAGTGGCATCCCACATGTTTACACTCAGAAATCAAAAACAAATCACTAATTCTACTGAAAGTCTTCAGTATGTTGGCTCACCCCTTTTACTGTGTACAGCTACCTTCTCTAAGCATTCACTTAAGATAGCTTAATAAAAATTGCCTTAAACAAGCAAGGTTAACTTTTTGACTTTTGATTTCTCCCCACCTCCAAACAGGAGAATAAATCTCAGTCATTACCACATACATTTTCTTCCCACACTTTAACAGCAGCTGCTTAAGCACACCAACAAGGGGAAACAGCCTCTGCACCAGAGACACCTATAAGCATCACGGTAACAGACCAAGTCATAGTTAACATATGTAATTATTTTGTTTTTAGAGTGCCCTACATTGAGAGTTGTTTGTTTTTAAGATACCTCCTCGCCTGCCTCAGTAACTGAGCAATACCATTTGTTGTCCATGTACTCCTAACAGCTAAATTGTTTGTGTCTTTACCTTGTCAGATGTATCTGGCTTTGAGATTTTTAGCTGGTGGTAAGTAGGTTGGAAAATTTTTAAATACTGTAGAAATACAGTGGGCCAAGAAAAGTCATCTATTACTTTCCTTCTGAAATCCATTTAACTGCAGTGGTGAAAAACAAGCAGCAGCAACAGCCTTGTGTTACCAGAGATGCTACTCACCAAAGGAATTCCAAAGTATACAGGGACTGATGGAAATCATCACTTCAAGTCAGAAGGGACACTGCATTGCTTAAAAAGGACAGTAATTTTCAGGCAAACCTAAGTGGTTTCACCAGTTGATGGCTACGGAGATAATCCAGTCTCTGTGCAAGCAAGCAGCGATAGCTAGGCTTGCTGCTGGTACACTGATTTACTAGCCTGAGTTGGTGCCTTTTTTTCAGGGCTTCTTCCACACTTGATAGCCAACAATACCATTAACCTTTCTTTTCTCCCTTAGGCCTTACTGTACATCCTTATAACTCAATTTGCTTCTGCTTATTATCCATGTTTTTGCTTTATTTAGTTTAAGACAACAGCACAGGATAGCAAAAGGCTCACTCCTCTGTGCTAGATTAATGTTTGGACTGTCCCTGTTATTACTTTGCAAATGAACTTAATAGTTGAAGTAATTGCTGTAGGCTTCTAGATCAAATAAGATAGATTAATCTCTCTTCCACAGAAATCTTTCTACGCCACAAGAACAGCTAGACCTTTTGTTTATTCCTGGGTCTCCATCTGAACCTGCTGTCCCAGGCCTGACAGCAAATGCCCAAGAGAGAACGTTTTTAAGACGACAAGCACCTGCTGACATTTCCTCAGAACATCTCTGCCAAACTGAAAGCTGAGTCTTTCAAATCAGCAGTAATATTTTTATATTTAACAGCCAGATAAAGGCTTCTCTCTCATGTATGTCAAGGTTTTTCCCCCCTCATGTAACAACGTAGAGCATGTCATTACTGCATCATGTCTCAGGTGCTAAAGGCTTTTGTTTTGAATTTGACAACTGCAACTTTCATGTGTTACTTCCCACACTGACTAAGAAGGTAACCTGTCAGTCTCTTCAGTTTGCACACTAACACGATTTTTGCAAGGCTTCCATCACATACTCTATCACCATTCTTCCCCGTGATCAAGGATCCTATTCCAGTCCAGTCACTCTTGACATGGAAATTGTTCCATACCTTTCCTTTTCCTCTTGGCCACCTCTGAGTATTGTCTACTTTGAACCTCAGAAATAAACTGCACTTGGAAATACGTATCTTTATTATCTAGGGTAATCAGACCAACATCTGTCCTTATGTGAACTGGAGCCCACGGGTACCAGCTAGGTATCTATTTTAAGATATATAATATGAAAACATTGTAAAACGATTTAGAATCATTATATAATGTGTCAAAATTATAAAACACTTTGTACATGTACTCTAAAATATTAGGGTGGGGGCAGGGGGAGGGGCAGAGACGTTTATCCTGGACC